GCTGCTAAAATATTCTCGGAATCTACTCCTGTTTCCTTTTTCCAAATGTCTTCCATTGTTTATCTTCTGTAGCATGATCCCGGTATAGAGAACATAGTAGTCCTACAAATGGAGGTGGATATTCAATTTTTAAAGTCTGGTGCCAATTATTCTGTGCAATACAAAAAAAAAAATTAATTGCTCATACTTGCAAACAAAATCAGCATCTAATACCCTGCTATTTTCAAAATGCTTCTCCCCGCCCCATTATTTTCCTTACCATTAGTTTCAGTGGCTTCAGTAGCTCCAAAGTTGGCACAGACTGACTATTGTTTAGGAGGGGGCATGTCTGGAAGCATTAGTCTTTCCTAGCCACCTTCCCCAGTCTGCCCTATGCAGACTTCCTCTAGCTCTTCTCTGTCACTAGAGGTAAGATGGGGACCAACTGATGACAAAAGTTTGTGCCACAGGTCGGAAGAACGGTTGGTGTTTGTATGTCCCTTTGCAAAGGGCAGACCTCTCCTTTCACCCTCAGAGAGGGAGATTGACATGATTCCCTCCAAAGAATTATAACAGTGGTTCTCAGCCTTGGGTAATCCAGGTGTTCTTGGACTGCATCTCCCAGAAACCCAGGCTAGAAGGCTTCTGGGAATTGTAGTCCAAGAACACCTGGGTTACCCAAGGTTGGGAACCACTGGATTATAACATTACAACCTCCTCGTCTGGTTGTCAAAGGAGGTGGCAAAGAGCAGTCGTATAAAGCTGAGTTTATCATACTTAATCTTTAACAATCTTATAAAAATATAAAAACAATTCAACTGATTAAACAAGATGACCTTGATTAATACAGTCAAACTAAGACTTTTCTTGGCAAGTTGTTCAATGGCTATACTCCTTATGAAATGTATTTTACAAGTGTTTAAAGAAAGGAAAGAGCAAGATGGCTTCTCAAGAAAGGTGTCTGCAGAAGGCATGCAGGCTGAGACATGCTTTTGTCCTTCTTCAGGAAAATAATGCAGCCTCTTTTCCAGACTGTAGGCTGTCTTTTTCAGCATTTCAGAATACATTGTAACATCTGGCAATACTTAAGTCAAATAATAACATCTGGCAATACTTCATCAAACAATCTGTGAGTTTATTCCTATTAAACATTTCAGTCAATTAAAAAGATGTGCTAGTTAAGCAACTAAATAATTGTGCTTAATACAAGAATTTTGCAGATAGCAAAAAGGCATGCCATTTTGTGTTTGAAAGTGGTGTGAATCAAGTCCGTGTGCATGCATCTCTTTGATGTTGCAGTCTTTCAGATATGGAAATAACCTTGCAGAGATAACAGATTTCTGTAGAGAAAGTATGTGCTTCATTTTGTGGGCCTTTTGCTTTCAAGAAGCCTACATACATACAGTATATGTCTATTATTCAAAATGCATTTTCAGTGCTTGTTGGGTGTTTCACACAGCTGAAATATGAGCAATAGTTTACTGCAAAATTTGTATAGGTACAGGAAATTGATATGATGATAGTTGACATTTTATCTATTAGGAATTTCTGCTTTTCCTCTAAAAATGGTTTGTGGCTTAAAAAGCAATCACATTAATTTCCTTTCTTTTCAACATCTACAAGCTGTTCTGTTCGACATGGAAAGCTGCACTGGAAATACTTCATAAAATGGACTGTAGCCTTTTTATACTCATGATCAATGTGGTTAGTTCATGTCACATCTTATATTTGCCAAGTTACTGTGACTGTAGCATGCTGTACTGTATGTCATTCTGGGACTAAAGTCCTAGCTTCACAATAGAGAAGTGAGCAAGCTAGTGGAGGAAGGATGGTGTGCTCCAGTCCTTCTTTGGTGCTCAGCACAGAAATCAACACTTTCCTCTGAATCCTGCATAGAAATTCAACAGTCTGCACCTGCCGCCAGTGGTGGGGGTAGTCTGCTTTCTTCATTTCCCCTTTACTAGCCTCAGCCAGTTAGTAAATTCTTTTGCAGAAAGTAACATTATTTCTAAGATTTTAATACCATACCATACCATACCATACCATACCATACCATACCATACCATACCATACCATACCATACCATACCATACCATACCATACCATAGTTCTGTTCATAATTAACTACCATGAAACTGAGCTAGCACATACCTGTATATAGAAGTAGTAACAATGCCACCATACTCCTTTTAAAAAAAACACACCAGACCTACAAATGAAACATGGGGAGGGTCATGCTGGTATCCCCCCCTCTCCTACCAGTTAACACAATTCAATAGCATTTAAAAGAAAACCCTTCTCAAAATGCTTCCCAAAAGCATTTTTGGCTTGCAAAAGAACAAGAAAAAAGATAGCCGCTAAATGTTACCCATTACAGAGGAAAACTAATAATGTTGGGGTGTGACTAGATAATCAAGCCCCCCTCATCCCACTCTGAACTCTGTGGAAGCCATATCATATTAGGTTGTGGGGAAACAAGAGCTCTCCATTCTCAACATTAAAAGACAATACAATTCTACTATGATTTTAATATAATAGCATTTGCAACATAATTTTTCCCCAATTGGGAAGACACATTTAAAGCTAATAATTAAACATGAAGAGTGCATAAACAATGCTCGGAATCATGGAATGGCTGCTGGCAGTCAACGGGTCCTTCCTTATGATCTGTGCTACAGTGGATGTGGGAATGCATTCTATACTGTTGGGAAGGAGCTTTCAAAAAAACAAGGGGAGGTGCAGACAAAGCACAACAAGCCAGAGTTAGTAGCAGAAGCAGTGCTCTGAGTCTGGGCACACAGTAGTGTAGAATTTGAAGAGTTAATTTTTTAAAGGCAACATTACTGTTATTCATGAGAGAATTTAAAAGTAACAACTGTTGTTCATCAGTCTTTTTTGAAAACGTGGCTTGTTGTGCACATTAGTGTATTACTTCTGGTTTTGTGGGTAAAATTGTTTGGCACAAACAGCCAATTCTTCAGCTTTGCCTGCTAAGAATTCTTCATTTCATTGTTTTTTTAGTCATCCAGCCCATTTCTGATTGAGTTCATCAACTCTTACAGAGTTTGGGAAAGTTTGATTAGAACTTCCAGAAACCCATGCTGGTTTAGGGATTTTGGAAATGGTAATCTGAGAAATAACTTTTCTAAACACTATTCCCTTGAGTGAAGGGCTTGTTTATAATAGATTCATTTTGAACACAATCAGCTTTACACATAGTTACCTGGCATGGAATGAAGAAGAAAAAAACCCACTAATTCTGGAACACAAAATAGTTTATTGTGGAAACACATAAAACTTTCTGTCTCACTGTGGCAGAAGGAATTGGTTATGTGAAAAATGGATGAAAATAGAGCTGTTCTTTACAATTGACTTTTGCTGACCTGATGATTTACAAGAAAAGGAGGTGCCAAGTGACAGTTCTCTCTCCTGTTACTCTTGACTGAAACGAAAACAAAGGAGGTCCACGTGATTGCTTTTCATCATTGGTGGTCAGTGGTCCAGGCAGAATAATACTTACCCTCACGTTTTGGAGATGATGCGTCCTCTCACAAGGACTGTATTGTATAGATTAATCACATCCCCACAAATTCATTTTTAACAGTTTGTAACAGCATGATGAAAGTTTTGAATCCACACAGTGATTCCATGTAAGGCTTATTACCTAAGAATATTATTTAATGGTATACTTTGGTGAACCATGATGTTAAAATGCCTTTATTAAATGTTTATTTTAAAAAATAGACGTTTGGGTCAAAAGAACAATCCATTTATTCTAAATTTCCACTCACATTGATTAAATTCCCTGAGCAAATTTATGAAGATATGTGCAAGTGGAAAATACAGCCTTCTGTGCTATTGAAATGTAACGTGAAAGTACGTTTTGAAAGTACAAGAATGAGGAGGCACATTCCTTCACCCATCACTTCCCCCTCTTCTTCTTATGTGCTAAAGTGTCAGTCATCGTTTATGGCAAACCATTTTATTTGGCAGTGTCAAATGAAATGCAGAAGTACAATTTGTTGCAAACCAATCAGAAGTTTTAAATTTTGACAAAGAGAGTAAGGATTATGGGGACCAAAACTTGTCTGCATTACTCTTTCTGATAATACTACAGCATGTTTTCTTGTGATATCATACTATCTCCAAACCTATGGTGGACAACTTCCAAGGGGATAGGTGTATTTCAATGTCACAAATTTCTTTGTTGTTTATTGCAGTGATTCTCTACCTTGAATAACCCAGGTGTTTTTTTGAACTACAACTCCCAGAAACCCTGGCCACTACAGCAGATGGTGAAGGCTTCTGGGAACTGCAGTCCAAGAACATCAGGGTTACCCAGATTTGGGAACCAATGTTTATAGTGAACCATATAGTCTCACATTCAGTCCAGGCATGCAGCTGTTACCTGAACTACTCAACTTCTTCCTTTTCTAGCAAGAGATTTCAGTGAAAACAGATAACCTATAAAGCTTTATGGAATAAAGTAGAACAGACTGTTTTGGAGTAACATATTTGTGATTTTTTTAACCTAAGGACATTTGAAAACACATGCTTTAGACTAATATGTAATTTACCGATAAAGCCACTCTACATCTTTCACAGATCCTGGGATTATTTTTATATATGTATTAGAAATAAAGGGTAATGTAAGAATGCTGTGGGATTAATACGAACAGGTTAAACATTAAATAAAGCATCTTGAATAATTTTCCAACCTCAAATAGACACCAAGAGCAATATAGATAATAAAGAACACTAAATTCGGTGTTACTTGTTGCAATGGAGGGAAATAAGCATGGGAGTAAATTGTATATATTTTGAAAAAAATCTGATGAACTAAATTCCCAAGCTGAAAGGAGAAACTGAAATTACAGTGACTTAAAATATCACAGGATGTGATGACACCAAATGGATTATCTAAAGATGTTGGCCTCAATCTCATTCTTAGTTCCAAGTAGAGTAGTTCCACTGAAACAATTGTTGAATTGGTTCAAAAATTTAATAATTGTTAGAGAATCAATAATGTTTAAGTCAATTAGTGAGTCAACACTTACGTAAATCCCACTGATTCCACAACACTATTCTAGTTGGGAGTATCAACAGGATTATGGCTATTGTGGTCCACAACTAGTAGCTGGTTGCTAATTGTCATTCTACTGGGATATTTAGCTCTGTAGTCTGGAGCAGTAAACAACTGGTTTAGCTAACTTTTAGTCTTTCTTTGGCTTTGGATGAAAGAAAAAGAAGAAAATGCTTTCAGATATCTGAAGTGTGGCCCTTCAGGCACTGACGGACTACACCTCTCAATATTCCTTATCATTGACTATGATGGCAAGGACAGATGAGAGGTATAGACCATAAACATCTGGAGGGACACACTCATGGTGCAAGGTAAGTAAATATAAGAGAATAAAATAATCCTCAAATGAATGTCCTTCTGAAAGCAAATACAGAACAGATAATTTACAGCAGGGGAGAAGAAATTATGGCCCTCTGGCTTTCTTTGGACTATAACTCCCATCAGTTCTAGCCAGCACTACCAAGGGTGAAAGATTATAGGAGTTGCACCCCCACAATATCTGAAAGGCCAAACTTTCCCTCTCCATAGTCTACAATTGTATCTTCATACATCACTCCATTTCCCTTTTCCCCCAGTAGCTGATTACCTCTAGCTAGCCAAGGCAAGCTATAGGTAGAAAGGTAGAGGGAAATTTCAGTAGTAGCTGTTTAACTGGACAGAGCTATTGAGAAGAGTAGTGACTGAATAGCTCAGTGAGTTAGGCATCTGGCTGTGGAGCCAGACGCTGGGAGTTTGAGTCCCCCACTGTGATTTCTCTCTCAGAAGAGGTAGCCTGTGGGGCCTTGGGCAAATTGCACAGTTCCAGGATGCCCCCAAAAGAAGGGAAAAGTGAACCACTGAAAAAGTTGCCATAGGTAAGAATTGACTTGACCACAGATGGTGATGATGATGATTGAGAAGAACCAATGGTTCTAAAGTTCAGTATTCTTTTTTGGGGGGGAGGTAACATAATTTACTTTTTCTGAATTTGTCAGGTGGCAGGACTTTCCTTCTGTGCATTTATCATTCTGCTTGCTACATGACAAAATTAATTCCTTTCATGAAGTCAGAACCTATAGCAAAATCACAGATATTTCTGCTAAAGCTAAATAAGACAAACATCCATGTGGTAAATTCTACACACAAATTCCACATAAGACTCACATATGTCACAAGTGTGATCTGCCTTTTATTTTGAATGTGTTTATTTGAAGCACAGTACATCACTCAACTTGATGCTGGTGCAGAAAGTTTTTGTGATAGTATTTGTGTGAGGACCAAACTGGACATAACATGCACAGTTGTGCAACTTTTCCCTTATGTCTGTCCAAATTTATGCCCAAAACAGTTTTGGGGTGGTTGATGAAGCACAGAGGTACAGCCATAGGAAGGAGGTGCTTCATGTTTTTCATGCCATTTATTTCCTTATGAAAGAAAAGGATAGCAGCTTAAAGAAACTGATTTGGAGGACAGTGTCTCACAGAGAAAGGGTAAAGCAACCCTTTTGAGTGACACCGTCCACTAGCTCCTCCCAAATATTTTCTGGCTAACATCAAGAATACCCTTCCCTCAATAAAACCCCAAAGACATCAGGCACAACATAATGCACATCTGTGTAAAACATCTCTTTTGGTTATTTACTTCTATTTGTTCATGTTATCATCCAGTTTCCAGTACTATGCTGGTTTCTACATTAACAGAAGCCACCTAGATAGGAAAGATATAATCTGCTTTATATTGGGGCAGATTATTTATCCTTCTATTCCCAGTATTGCCTATGTGAGCTCACAGGTCTCAGATTTCTTTCCCTTTGTTTTCTACCTGATCCTTTCAACTGGAAATACCAGGGAACTGAATATCTGCACACAAATCATTGAGTTCAGTTCCCTTTCTTCAAACATAATCCCTATTCCTTGGCTATCAGCTGTTTCTAGGGATAGGGCTGCTATGTTTCGAACCCTATGTGAATTAAACTCTGCTAATTCTGACTTATCCCACTGCATTCGGTGGGATTCAATTCAGAAGAGAAAAAGATTTGAGGTCTGCTGTGTATCTGTCACTGGGATCATAACATGCTCTATACTCTTTCATGAAATATTGCAAATGTCACCAAAAATCAGCTTCAAAAATTGTTAGATTGGGCAATTTACCTGGGAAATATATAAATTCAAAACATATTTTTTTTATAGCTAATCAGCCTTATACATGACAATAATTTCTAGTGAATCATAAGTAGTATCACTGCTACTTCCTTTGGCTTCTGTGTCTATATTTATATAAAAACGCAATTAAAAATCAATGTAATTGGCAAATATTTTGTACAAAAATACAAAAATTTTAAAAGCTTTAAAAAGTATATTCTATATTATTGATCAGAGTTGGACTATATATATTTTTATATAAAATTTTTATATATTTATAAATGTATATTCATATAATTTGCTGATATTTGTGATCTTAGCTGTTGTGTTTAAACAACAGCTTTGTATTTTTAGTTTTTACTCCTATAGTGGAAAGGCCATGCTTTGTAGTCAGCTTGTCATAATCCAGTTTCTATAAGAATAAATCTTCAGTATTCATATGTTGTATGTCTGAGGATCTACAGATGATTCAGTCTTAACTGCAATTAACAATCAACACTTTTGTGCAGCAGGTTGAAAGCCCCTGAAAAATTAAAAGGTTTTGAAGGACAAATTGTGCTAAAGACATTGGTTCATCACGGTTCTCAGTGCTTCCTCTTTGGCTGGGTGACGATTCAGTCCCAGAGGATATTTCACCATAAAGAAAATCTCTGTCTCTTGCACTTTGTAGTTACAATCCTGGGGGCTGAGCTAAAGTGGGAAAATAAAAACATCACATTAACATGCTATAAAAGTAATTTCTTGAAGGGAAAAAATACCTCACAAGCAAAGAACAGAATCTTTGTTTTAAACCACTGCTCTCAGAAACCTCCAGCTGACACAGGAAGTAGCCAGGCTGGTGGAGGTAAGGCTCTGTCTGGGAGTTGTAGTCCAACAATGCAAGTCTCCCAAGATCAGAACTGCAACCTCACCTTAGCAAGCAGTGGCTTCCAAGCCTACCTCTGGCAAAATGACACAGATATGGAGATTGTGACGGAGTGGACAATCACAGCAAAAAAATCAGTGGGCAGCAAGTGTGTAACTTTGGTAGGGAGAATTTACGAAGGCAGGCAGGAAGGAGACCATGGGGAAGCTCTGAGTCGTGCAAAGGCAACCCATTTCACTCCCCCACAAACATTACTCCTTGTAATACTGACACACTCCTTTGGCATTATAAGGTGAACACAGTGAGTCACACAGTTTTGTCCAAAGAGGCTAGCTGTTAGTATTAACAAAATGAAACTTTTCCCCTGTGGCAAAGAATCTCAGTTGTCTTGGTTGACAAAATATGTGTCTTTCATAATAAACACAATAGTTCCTATTTTCTTAGATAAAGGTGTGGATGTGATTCCTTTACAAAGGGGAAAGTGTGCTCAGGTAACCATTCCAAGTGTCAAGGGCTGAATCTACAAGCCAACATTGATGCAATATTGCTGTGTGTGTATTCTCCGACGGAAGCTAATATGGGTTGAACTGAAATCTTTTTCCAAGGGCTTCCAAATATCCAACTGTATTCACAGGGGTCAGATTCTCCCTTGTGCCAGCTGTGTAAATTTGCTTTTCAGATTTGGTCTGTGCAGCAAATGAGAATCTGCTCCATTTGAGGCTCTAACATACCTTTGTCCGTCTCTTGTTCACAAATAAAACTGTTAACATCTTCACAGTAGAAGTCATTCCAGAGCCCAGCATGGATTAATCCAGCACAATCTTCCCCTGGTCCGTGGCCATGATTCCAGTTATCCGGCTGTCCAGCACTCCAGTTTCTTTCAACAAAACAGAAGATAGTTGCCGTAAAACAACTAGATGACCACAGTGATACCATGGCACAGCAAGTTTATAACACTGTAAGTGTAAAGCAAAGCAAGGCAAAGAAAAGCACCAACCATCTGTTCTGAGCAGTGCTGCTTATATACCGCCCCATAGTGCTTAAAGCACTCTCCGGGAAGTTTACAAGTTAATTATGCAGACTACGCATTGCCTCCCCCAGCAAGCTAGGTACTCGTTTTACTGATCTTGGAAGGACAGAAGGCTAGGTCAACTTTGAGCTGGCTACCTGGGGATTGAACCCCAGGTTGTGAGCACAGTTTTGGCTGCAGTACAGCAGTTTAACCACTGCGCCACGAGGCTCACATAATGAACAATGTATGACACTTCTTGGAAATGGAGAACAGAAAGACAGAAGAAAAACAGAAAAGGAATGATTTCAACAAGCTGCCGAAGATCAAAAAGCTAAATTTAGTCCTATAAACATTGCCTGGATTTGGGATTGCACATGGGTGTGTCAGGAAGGCATGGACAAATCCATTACCTTAGGAGCAGTGACAGAGAATGTTCTCACCAAGCAAACCTCTGACAGTGACAAAACTAAGAGAAAGTTAGTTTTCAATATTTTAAAACCTGGCAGGATTATAAAGGGAGATTTGGTATTTCTGAGCCCAATACATTTAGGGTTTTATAGGTCAAAATTAGCACTTTGAATTGTGCCCAAAGATGGACCAGCAGCCAGAGGAGCTGTTATAACAGGGGATTTATGAGATCCCTGTAACTAGTGCCAATTAACAAGCTGGTTGCAGTGTTTCGGACCCACTGAAATTCCCATACATTTTCCAAAGGCAACCTTATGTTAATCTACTATTTTTTCTGATGAAACAATTAATTGATTAGTCAATTCATTTTTGCTTTTTAAACCCTATGTCACCTCCCAAGCACCTAGGGACACCGAAATCACAGAGATGCTTCCCCCGACTCTTCTCTACAAGCCCTGCAAGTTTGGTGAAGATTGGGTTTTGGACATCTGAGTTATAAACCCACAAAGAAGGCCCTCCCAGGCAAGTTCTCCCAGGGCACTTAGAGAAACCAAAATCACAGAGAAGCTTCCCCAGCTTTCCTCTACAATCCCTCCAAATTTCGTGAAGATTGGGTTTCAGACATCCAAATAGGTCCCCCCAAGGAAAGTGTCCTTTAGCAACTGGCTTGGGGAAACCCAACCTTTACCAAACTTAGAACAATTGTAGAGGAGAGACAGGGGACACTTCTCTGCAATTTTGGCATCTCTAGGCACTTGGGGGGCTGTTTTATAGCCTAACAAATGGATGAACCAAAAATCACTAAAATTTGCTGATTCATATTCATCGGGAGCATTGATTTTTATGAATATGAATCTATGAATTAGCAATTTTTGACAAATTTTGCAATTTGTTTTTTAGTTAATGCCCATCTCTAGTTGCTATCCATCCCAAAATAAATAATGACAATTGAGCTTGCCTTTCCTTCAGGGTAAGGCATGGCATATTTAATCAATTAAAATATTATTATTCTGCCTTTCCATCCATACAACTGTTTTCAAGCATAGATTGCAAATTTGGCAGGGGTAAGAAAAAAAATGAAATAATAATATGGTATATTATTATGAGGAATGTTAGCTGCGGACAAGGATATGGAAGGCTCAGGAAGTGAGAGAAGCTCAGGAATTATGTTTAGTGATACGTCTTCTAAAATTGAAGTGACATCATGTTCATATTTCTTTAGAGATGGAGCTCTTTCCCTCTCCCCCACCCAAGAATTCAGATCTATACTTCACATTGGGTCACAGGCATATAAGGATCATGGTTTCAGTTAAGTATCGGGGGATCTCATCAGGGTAGGACAGAATTAGCTAATCTAGCAAGCTATGCATTCCGATGCCAAACAAAAACTCAACTGAGTAATTTAAGGAGACATGCCGTATTTCAACTGACAAGAACGATATATTTTAGGATTTTTAATTCAGAGTTCCTCCTTTGTGGGACTGTGTACATTATGACTCCAGTTCAAAGGAACTTGGCTCAGTCTGAGCCCGCAGTAAGCTTCAATGAAAAATCTTTGGCTTCTAGCAAGTATCTACATGTGATGAAAGTGGAGAGGGGCTTTGCTTCCTGTAAAATTATGACATCCTATCTGCTATCTGTCCACAAGTACGAGCTTTCTCTTTCAATCCAACTATATTACAAAGCTGAGGAAGAATACATAAAACATGGCAGCAGTTTTTTTGAGAAGGGAGATATGTGATTTTTTAAATCCCCAGTTTGCAATTAAGCTCTATAGAAAGCATCCACAAACGTTTCATGATACTTTTTACAGCTGAGAAAGCTCTGAGTATAAAAGAGCAAGAGACGATTACAGTTCTTGATGAAGTTTTGCTCTATAAGGCTGCAGCTTGATTTCCCATTTTTGTCATGTCCATGTGATAAAAAAAAAAGGAACAGCAAGAACAGTTGCAGAAAGCAGGCAATGGGTTCCTTCCTGCACGTACGTGTATTCTGGTAAGGTTCCATTCAGCCATCGCCATTCATTTTCCTTTACTGAGTCTGTGAGGCCAATCCAGAAGCTGCCTTTTGCAATCACCTGCTTTTTGAGCCATTCCTGCGTACAGAGGAAAGCACTGGTTGCATGATTTTGTATCTCAAAATATCCAAAGACTTTGGATACATGTAGCTTAGGTATCAGCTTTTGTTTTGTTGTGTTACAAAAGCTTTGCAGTTCTCCTGAACTCATCGGGGTGAATAACTCTGACAGTTCAGGAGACCAGTTTTTCCCCCCTCAGATTCTGAGGACTGGACTAAGAAAAGACCCTAATTTTTTTTTTTAAAGGCTAGAAATTCACCTATAGTTTTGAAAAACCATTTCTTTGCGGTGGTGGAAAGTGCAGAGCAGCCCTGTGATCTACTTAAACGTCAAGGCAAGACTCCTAGACATTTCAAGGAGTTGCAATACTCCTTTTTTTTGGCCCTAAAAGGTGTCACAGCCAGGGGCTTGGGACTACAATTACAGCCTTGGGATGGCTACGTATGGCTCTAGGACAGCACTTTGCCCACTCATACATTATAGATAGTGCATCATTTGAATAGGGAGTGCCTTAAGTGATGACACACATGTGGTTGTTACAACAGGGGCTTTTTACACCGCATACACATTGCAAATTAACTTTTGCAATTATTATTGGGAGTAAAACAGACTTCACTTAGTAGCAGGATTGCTCAGACATTAAAATCATAAAAATATAAAGATACCCAACTCACCATGCAAGGGTACCTTGGTCATGCCTGGCCATGCACGTGGAACACTAATGTGCTTTCATTTTCTGATGAAGTGCCATCTATAGAGCCAATTTGACTCAGAGTTGACACTTTGTCAAGACTGAGAAGCCGTTCCTCTTTGCTTATGAAAAAGAGGACACAACTTGTTCCCTCTAGAGGCTCTAATCCCACTCCTTCCTACCCACTGACCTTCCCATACATTCTCCTTCTCCTCACCCACCTCCAGATGCCAATATTACCCACCCACTTACTAAGCTGAAATTCCAGTGGAAGTGATCCTTCTATAGCAGCTGCAGCAAGCCATATTCAGTAAGCTAGAGAACAGGAAAGAGGCTTCTTTCCCCTCTTCCTTCTCTGTCTTACCAGACAAAACTAAAGGTTTTATTTTTAAAAATGTGCATCAGACAACCTTCTGTTAGCAATCATCACGACAGGGCCAAACTACTGGGTAGAACTAAATCACAATGTACCAATACATTGTTGAAAATACTCCTGTCTTTATTCTTGATGTATTTCAAATATAACTCTTTCTCAGGTGAACAATATCTGAATAACTCCAGCACCTTTAAAAAACTGCTCCTTCCAGCAGTTTTGCTGAATTGCTTTCTTGAAGGTGTTAAGAGTTATTCAAATGCTTTTTATTTAGTTGGGAAAAGTTTTTTCCCCTCCTCAAAATACATCTGGAATTGAGAAGGAAGTATTTTTTTCAATAGTTGTTTTTATTTTGCCTTGGTTCTGCTTTTATAGTTGCTACATTCCCCAAACTACATATTACACAGGGCAATTGTGATTGATCTCCTGATTTTATTTTCCAGGGGCTGAAATTCTTCTGATGTTGCAGACAGATTGAGTAATGGAACACAGAGGCCAGCTTTTGCCTCTGTCGTGGGCCTGGCCATCCACCTCATAGTGCAACCAAGATGCATCCTGGCATATCATCAGTTAGCTTCAGGTAGCCATAGCAAGTTTATGGGAATATACAGTATCTAGCATAAAGATGCTAGCACCTGATAGCTTTATTTGCAGAGCTGTTTCTTCGCCATGCTTACTGGGGATTCTTGGAGCTGGGTTTCAAAACAGGAACATGTCTAACAGTTGATTTTAGTGAAAGGAAAGCAGTCAGGAAATTTCAGTATCCTTCTGTTTCATAATGTCTAGGATTTTTTTTCTAAAAGGGGTAGCTAGATTTCTTTCTGAAGCATTGGGGAAACTGAAGCCTCTCCATGTTGTGACATTTGTGTTGTAGAGAATATAAGTGCTTCTCTTCCACATCTCTAGCTTGCCAAAATAGCAGAAATGCCTCCATACCTGCTCTTCTTTACTATTTATGAAAACTAAATGTGATGATTTCTCTTCACAGAAAAGCCTGGCATCTTCAAAAATTGCTCTTTCCATTGAAAAGTAGTAACAATTGCCTGAAAAATTCTTCCAGGAAACAGGACAACCTAAAACACAACACAGTTTTTGTTAAACCAGTAAATGCTTTAAAAATGAGCCTCTGCAAGTGCCCTACATAGGTTTGTGGATATATTTATTGTAGTACAATGAAGTTCCACCAGTTTGAACAAACAACAAGTTATGTTCAGAATGTAATTAATTTAAAATGGCTTTCCTTTACTGAGAAAACTGCAACCCTACCAGCCCGGTCTTCAAAACAGTTTACAGACTAGGAGAGTTCATTGCAACTTTTAGTCTGAGGGAAAAATCTTTTAAAATTGTGGAGACAAACTTGTTTTAACACCTAACTTTGCCATCTAGGGCCTATTAGTTTCACAGTGAGAACAGGATTGCTCACCAACAAAAGACGTTTGCCTGTGTATGTGGGGGATGGCTTAAGCATGTGGAAATAAACTTTCATGTAAATGAAAATGAAGAGGAAGCCTGACACCATTCAATTCAGTGAGGACTGAGAATGCTCAGTAAGGTAAAGGTAAAGGCTCCCCTTGACAATTTGTCCAGTCATGTCCAACTCTAGAGGGCGGTGCTCATCTCCGTTTCCAACCCACAGAGCTAGTGTTTGTCCAAAGACAATCTTCCGTGGGCACATGGCCAGTGCATCTAGACACGGAATGCCGTTACCTTCCCACTGTGGTGATACCTATTTATCTACATGCTTTTGAACCGCTAGGTTGGCAGGAGCTGGGACAAGTGACGGGGGCTTACTCTGTCGTGTGGATTTGATCTTACAAGTTCAGGTCTTCTGACCTTGCAGCACAGAGCCTTCTGTGGTTTAACCCGCACCACCACCATGTCCCACAGTGCCCTCTAGCAATTGTACAAAGTAGAGGGTGAAAGAAAAAAAATGTCAGGAAAGGAAAAATTCAGAGGATGGTGATCAGCCTGGTAGAGGTTCTGAGAGCATATGATATCCTAGAGTAGAAGATTAGAGTCATAGGAGGTAAGTGCCAAGAGGTTAAAATCTTAATGCTAAAGGGGAGGAGAGAAAGGGAGAAAAAATATACATTTTTATCATGCTTTAGAACCCTCATTTGGTGCCATATAGTAGGTTAATTGTCAACCTATCCTGAACCTTAATATTTTCTACCTGTATAGATCTACACAGAGCAATATAGGAGAAGTATGAAGAGATATTATTTTCTGCTGCCTCACCACCCCCAAATTTCTCTTCTAGTAAGTTCAAACCATACAAAACTTCTATTTCAAACTAGCTGGAGCCTTCAAGAGGCACACCCCTCTTAGATGCTAGATATATCTTGCAGCATTTTGTTATAGGCACTCAATTGCAGTACAATCCAGCACAGTAGCCAAGGAATGTGCTAGGAAAAAATGGAAGTGTGTGAGCAGAGATCTTACCGTTAGCCTCACTTTGAAGGGCCACTGGTATTCCTGGACCTGGTGGTCCGGGGGGTCCAGGTTGGCCCTGCAGACCACGCAATCCAGGTGCGCCAGGCAGGCCAGGCAGCCCACGAGGACCAGGTATTCCTGGCTCGCCAACAATTCCTTGTAGACCCTGGGGTCCTGGTGGGCCTTGTGGGCCTGGGGGTCCATCTTTGCCTGGTGGTCCAGGTAGCCCTGGGTCTCCACTAGGTCCTGGTGGACCAGGCTTCCCAGGTGAACCTCTTTGACCTTTGGATCCAGTTGAACCTCTGGAACCTTTCCCACCTCTTTCACCTGGTGGTCCAGCTGGTCCATTTGGTCCCTTTTCACCTTGAGGTCCAGGTGGTCCTGGTTCACCTTTTTCTCCTTTTTGTCCTTTGGCTCCAGTAAGACCAATAGGACCTTGGGGCCCTCTATCACCTTTGGGGCCTCTTGGACCTGGAGGGCCTAAAAGAATTCAAAAATAGAGGGAGAATAATAATTACAATAAGTTTAGTTTAAAACAAATTGTTCATATAGAGACACAGTCACATAGAATCAAACATGAACAAAACCTTTGCAGATTTTTCAAATTCCTGGACCTCTTAATGTTGTCTTCTCTTGCCTGTTGAAGTGTTCTGAAAACCTTGAAAGCTAACCACAAATATTGTATAGATGTGATCTTAATAAAGGCGTTGTCTGCATTTGAATAACTACAGTATATGCATCACCGGACAGGGGGAAATCATATGACCTCATAATTCAAGTGAGACAAAGCAATGGAATGTAACATTAGGTCTCAGAATAAATGAAACTGTTACCTATGGAGTAATAGGGCAGACAGTATAAAAAAACAGAATGGCAAGAAATGCTCAAGGAAACATTAGACAACAAAACAAAACAAAAACCAAACAAGAGGCAAAAACATTGTGGCTCCTTGAAGACTAACAACTATACAGTGGACCCTCGACTTACAGACGGCTCGACCTACAGACTTTTCGAGTTACAGACTTCTCTGGCTGCAAAATTTAGATTCGACTTGCAGACGGAGAATCGACTTACAGACCAGAAAAAAAAACAAAATGGAATAAAAATAGAATAAAAACCACTGGTTATGGGATTAATTGGTTTTCAGTGCATTGTAGGTCAATGGAGATTCGACTTACAGAGTTTTCGACTTGCAGCCACCATTCCAATACGGATTAATTCCTTAAGTAGAGGATCCACTGTATTTTATTGAAAGCTTTCATGGATCAAGCCCACTTTATGTCTGAGGAAGTGGACTCAATCCGCCAACACTCACATTGAAGTATAGCAGTTAGTCTTTAAGGTGCCACAACAGTTTTGTCGTTTTGTTTTGTTTTGTTGTTGTCTGATATGCTTGCACAGACTAACACAGCTACTCTTTCAACAACAACCATGAAGAAAGTATGAGAGGTCATCCATTTCAGAAGGAAAGAAACCAAAACCTCAGTTGTGAGTTTTGGCAGCTGCTGACAAACTTGGGAAATATTGCTTTCTTGGACTATGACTCTCAGGGTCCCCCACAGCCAGCACTGCTTCTGTGTTTTTCTTCCACTACTGGTGCTGCTTGCTGCTTTTCTTTCCTTCCTTCCTGCAGGAAGAAGGAAGCGGTCTCTTATTTTTTAAAAAATATTGAGTCAAGTGGGTGCACGGTGCTGTGTGCTGCTGAGCTACTTCACACACACAGGGAACATTGCCTACAGAGATATTCTGGGAAAATGAATATGCTGAGTGAGTCTGGAGCCTTGGCAGCACGTGCTTTACTCTACAGCAGTGATTCCCAACCTTGGGTAGCCCAAGTGTTCTTGGACTATAGTTGCCAGAAGCCTTCATCACCAGCTGTGCTTACCAAATTAAATTTAAAAAAAGAGGGGGGGGGAAGATGTTGTAGGGATGGCATGGGATGGCAGTGAGAGTAGGTGCACCTAATTTTTTAGGAGGGGGTCTCTCCTGTTCAAGCCATCAGCAGGCTAGGGGATACTGCATAAAGGCAGGTTTTAGCTGTGGCATGTGCTTGTTAATGCCACGTGTGGATGGCACACCTGTTTCTTGCCTTCACCAAACCCTGTCACCTGTCACTGCAGTCTCTTCTGGGAGGTATCTGGGCCACTCGATAGGCTGCAAAGCCCTGGACTTGTGTCTCAGAGCACAGTCCTAGCAGAAGCACTGTGAGGAACACGGAAGCAACATGCCACAAGTTACTACTATGCCGTTATTGAGAAGAAAAATTATCCAAGATGTTTCTTACCTTGCAATATTGTAAAGTTTTTAATGAGTTGGCCATGTTTAGAATCAACCAGTTTCATTTCTTCCATAACTAGTGATAAATTGGCTACTTCAATATCTAGTCTTGTCCTCATCACATCCTGTTGCATCCTAAGGGAAGTGGCATCCAGGTTAATATTTGCTAGTGTGTTGTTTATATACATTAGTTCATCTGTGTGTTTACTAAGAGTATCTGTGCAGGTTGTCCTGACATCATTGAGATTGCTGGTCAGTGTCCGCAAATGATGGGCAGTGTAGCTAATGTTACTAATAATATTAACAATATCTGTTTCAAAGTTTTGAAAACGGCTTTCTTGCTGGTTAAATTTGGCAGATGTTCCATTTTCATATTCTTTATGTTGTTCTTGGAGTTCCTTCAAACTCTGTTCGTTGGCTTGAGCAATACTGGTGATATTCTCCATCTGCCCACTGAATGAGCTAAGCTGACTGCTCATATCCTCAAGTGTATCATTATTAGCTTTGGCTAAAACTGAGTTATTGGCTGCTAATGCTTGCAAACTGAGCACTTTCTCTTTAAGCCAATCAGTGTCCTTTCGTGCTTGGAGGGCAACCTGCTGAAGATTTTGAAAATCACTCTTGATTCTTTGGATAGCTTGACTTGTATCATCCACAGACCTCTGCAAAGCACTGATAAGATCTCTTTGTTGAACCTGTGTCTGATTGAGATTATTTAGATTCATAATGACTACATTATGGGAGTGCATTTGGCTTTGCAAATTGGTTTGAATGTTGCTTGTATCTTCCTGAAGGTCACTGATGTAGCCATTGTAGGCTTGAAGAGTTTTGTTGACACTCATGATCATGAAAGAGTTGCTGTCCAACACACCTTTCATTTGGTTCTGCCGATCATCCAACACATCACCAGATTCTTGTAACTTTTCCAGTGTATCTTTGTTCTTTTCAGTTTTCTCTGATATCTCATGAAGCTGTTGGCGGAGAGCCAGTATGTCAGCTCTAAAGTTTGAAAGCTCTGTGTTGGTGCTTATGGCTTTCTCTCCAGCTTGGTGACCTGAAAAAAAAAAAGAAGTGGGGAAAAACACCACCGGAAAATGGAGAGAAATTTTTATTATTATTGTTTAGCAGAACAGCTTATGTTTAGCAGAGCTTTCACTGTTACATGAATTCAGACCTCCCATGTAAACCCTTAATTCAGCTGATGAGATATACTAAAAATCTTTTGGCATGCAAACTTTTAAAAATTCCAGCCAAAGAGAGTTACCAATATGTTTGTTCTATTGTGTGAAGATTCTGACCTGGTTCAGATTATTATTCCAGGCTCCATAAACAACAGTTTATGTAGCTGTAAATGAATACTGGAGCTGAGCACTCTCTCTGCGCCTAGTTATTTGCCAGCTTCTAGTTATGTGCCAACTTCAGCACAAATGCCCTGCCTTATATTGAGCCAGAATTCTTTGATACATCTGAACAAAGGGATTCTAGCTTGATGGGGTATGCATGTAGCAAAACAAGTCAGGATGTTATTTTGAAGGTTTAAATATAATTGTTAGTCTCATCTAGAGCAGACTTACTGAATCAATGACTTAAGTGTACATAAAAATTCCCCTGATCTGAGTTGGGTCTATCAACTGGGATTTAGGTCAAGATGGCTGACTCTGGCTAGATTGGCCCACTATTCACAGAAGAATGGAATAGGGTAATAATAACCAAGACATCTGGTTATTTGGTTACTTTGCTGGGCAAAGGATTTTTTAAATCCTTTGTCAAGCAAAACTCCAACTTAATTTGACATTTATTTACTTGAGCAGAATTTTTTTAAAAAACAGGCTGACTGAGGACAGAACATAAATACAGATAATCTGTCATTTAAAAAGGGAATTCTAAAAGAGGGACTTCTGAATGTCAGCAAGAGTTCTTTGAAGATTCTCAAGATAGCAAGAGGTTTTTTTCCACCTCACAACATTTGCAATTTAGCCCTCCGCAATTTGTGATTAGTCTTCATGACTTAAGCATGAGATTCCTTTGATTTCTCAAGTATGAAAGCCTACATGAATCACTTCTCTCCAACACTAACATGCTTTCAGCTGTAATCATGGGCTATCAATATGTTTGTTTCTGCCTTCAAAGATAATGGCTGAAATCCCGTTTCCATAGATTTGCACATACAATGGGAATGACATCATCATCATCATCAGTAGCAGCAAATCATCAGGGATTAAAGGCTTCCTTTGGGCAACTCATACATAATGTGACAAAGTCAGGTACATCCTGAGATCACAAAGGAAGTTTTTAATCAGCAGTCAATTTGTTGCTGCTGCTGACATCATTCATGTTGGGCCAGCTTAGCTGTGAAACAGGATTTCAGCTAAAGACTAACTGAATACTACCCAGACAGCTTCCTGTCTGAACAAGAACCTGAATACCAGTCTGCAAAGCTTAAATCCAATAGCAAACACAATAGCACAGTGGCTATATGCATATGGCAATGCATACAGCATACATGGCAGCTCAGTATGAAGCCTTGGGGTTCCTATTGGTCAGAGTTACGTCAGGCCAATGGTATATATGCCAGGCTAAGTTTCTAGTACAGGATGAGACACAAAGCTCTCTCTCCCTTCCTGGAAGGCATGCATCAGTATCGGTTTCTCACTTCATCGGAAAACAACAGCAATCCTTGAATAGGACTGAGGCACTAATTAACTAGCAGGCAAGTTAATCTGAACAACTGACAAACTAAAGTGGCAATAATTTATGTACTTTTTTACACTTCTAAACCAATCATCTGATCAATGGTCACTCTGGGTGATGTACAATGGAAGACATATAACAAGTAAATCTGTAAATTAACGAACATAATAAAAAAGCGTACATTTATAATTAAAATTAAAATAAAATTGGCCAGTAGCAATAGATGTTAAATATGTAAACTCAGCAGGCTATTGAGGTTGCGTAGTTTGGAAAGGCTGCCGACATAGGAAGGTTTTCAGGGATTTCTTAAAAAATTTCCAGAGAAGAGAATGTATAAATCGTGTATTAATGTTGTTGAATTACCCAGTATCTTGAGGCCACTCTCCACTGCTGAGAGTTTCTTGATGTATGTGTCTTGTGAATCTTCCATGCCACCAGTAACATTGTTCATTTTTTCTACCACTGAAATAATTAAAACAACATAATACATCATAAGAATAATAATACACCATAAAACTTGGATGGCATAAATGAATCAGAGAGACTGACATTCCTCATGGACATCTTATAGACACTATGCTTATCTACTGACATTCTCAGGGCATTGTTGTTTGCAGAACTATGTTATAAACCACCCCAAGAGTGCTCTAGCATTAGAGGGTGGCATATAGGTCAAAACCACCACCACCACCACCACCACATTGTCTTTTTGGACACAATGCAGAAAGCTTGATGACTAATACCTGGGTGGGGGCTGACTTGGAACCCTAGGTATTGGTAAACTCATAAACTCTGCAAAACAATGGCTATTACCCTGTTTTCCCCAAAATAATACCTAATCCAAAAAATAAGCCCTAGCATGATTTTTCAAGATGCTTTTAATATAAACCCTACTCAAAAAAATAAGCCCTAGTTAAGTGAAATCCCGCCCTCCGCCCTTGTGCAGCAACCAGAAGATGACATGACTGTATTTTAATAAATGTAGATTGTTGTACATGAAAGAAATAAAACATCCCCTGAAAATAAGCCCTAATGTGTTTTTTGGAGCAAAAATTAATATAAGACCCTGTCTTATTTACAGGAAAACACGGTATTGCTACTACTGCTATGGCTACTACTGCCCCCAAATGTGTGACAGATTTTCACAAGCCAAAAGAGTGTTGTGATTTCCCCACAGAAGCTGGATATTCTATAACACACTATGTATACATACTATTAGACTGTTTATAGCATTGCCACCCTCTTGGTGAGTGGTCTGAGCATGTTATGGAAGCAGAGAGCAATGCCATCATGAGGCTAGATTAATTTACAAGTCTAGATTCCTAACAGGGCCACCTTAACTGGAATGGTCAACACTGAGATACCAGGCTAAGATGCATTCATCCTCTTCAGAAATTAGTGGTTGCATCGTGGGCTATCAATCAATAGTAAATGAAGTTGAAACTCATGGTGAATCTTTCACAGTAACCATGACACATGAGCTAACTCGTGCTAATACTGTACAGAAGGCAGTAATCGTAAAACACTTTTTACACATCACACTCTAAAAGCCCTGTGATGAGACAATCCAAAATTATACCAGAAGATTAGACAAGTTGGAAGTCCATCAGTCAAATAGAGGTGAAGAGCGAAGGGTCAGTATGAATAATGTTATTGCTATATGATCTCTAGGTGCTATAGCTATTGGATTGCTGGATTACGCATCAGTTATTTAAGACACCATATTACTGACAGGAAATAGCAACAACTTAATGACTACTGAGGAAAGTTAAAGGAAAGGCAAAAATGGGATTGCAGTTTAACACTAGGAACATAAAAATAATAACTTTAATGTTCACAATGAAGAAACTGAAACAGTTTTTTAAAAATTCTATATATTGGTTCAATCATCAGTCCAAATGGAGACTACAGTCAAGACATCAGAGACACTCTGAGACCTGGAAAAGCAGCTATAAAGGAAGAAGAACAGATTCTCAAGTGTAAAGTTGTGTGGCTGGAGGCCAAGGCCAAAACAATGCATATTATAATATTCCTAGTTACTATATACAGATGGGATAGTGGGAAAATCAAGAAAGCTGACAGGTAAAAATTTGATCCATATGAAATATAGTATTTGTATTTATTTATTATGGTCAGGTGGCCAGCTTGTAAAACATATTATATGACTAAAATATACAAAATGCAAATTAAAAAGTGTAAAACAGATACTAGCTATGGGGAGAATCAGTTACAGCATTTTTATAGGCATCCTTAGACATTGGATTGTCTAGGGCAAATTGGTTTGGACAGGCTCTTTGGGGTATATAGAATCCTTCATTCATATTTGTAAACATCAGTGAACTTTTCGTCCCTTTGGTTGGGACCACAAAGTTTCTCTACGCTCGAGAATAAACCACCCTCATGCTAAAACCAATCAACCTGTGACCTCAGGAGACTATAAGGGAGTGTTGTGCCATTGCTGCTGCACAAAATGTTGCTGCAGAGCATGTAATAAGGGAGTCTTGATTGGAAAGAAGTAGCTTGATGTAAAATTCATCAGGTCTCCCTGGGTATTTGAGAATAATTGGGCTCAAGAGGTTAGTGTGTAGATCTCTGTAAAAAAGACAATACAATAAAACATGGCCTACAGTTTCCACCTGGCCATCTTTACATGGACAGAGGCAATCCAAGATAGGTATACGTTGAAATCTTCCCTCCATGTACTTAGATGGTAAAACATTAAGTCTCACTAATGTGAAGGCTCTTCTGGTCTTTGTTGTCATTGTGCTAGTAAAATATGAGGATATTGTAAAGGGATTATTAGTAACAACACTGTATTTGCCTGACTGGCTCATATGCTCTTGAAATTCTATGTCCCAGATTCTTTCTTTGAGTGCTGCTTTGGCACCAGCATGACCCATTGCAAAGAGAGCGTTGGTGGAAAAACCCATTTGCCGTATTTCTTTTGTGAGTTGGAGTTTCCAGCCTGATTGAAAGGAGTCAAAAAGTGACATTTGTGCCAAGCCTTCAGAAGAGAAGAGAAGCTTTAGCCAGTAATTAAACATAAGGATTTTGGCATATGCTTTTATGGTAATTAGGCCAGCCTCCAAACGAAGGGTTACAGTAAGTGTACAGGGAGGTACAATCAGAATAGATCTCAAAAATTTGGTTTGAACTACCTCAAGAGGATGTAGGTCAGATAAGGCAAAGAGTTGGCACCCATAGACCATTTGAGCAACAACTTTAGCCTTAAAAAACTGAATGACTGAGGGGAAATGGTGACCCCTTGGGTGTGAAAAAATCTTGTTAATGCCACAGCAATATTGTGAGCACGCAGTGCTGCATGCTTTATGTGGGGGGCTCAGGAATCTGAGACGTGAAAGATTATGTCCAAGTATTTGTAACTGGAAACCTGCTCTAAGGGATGACCATTAATAACCCAATTGTGCTTCACTCTTCTTCTATTGACCATGAGAACTTGGGTCTTCTGGTAGTTAATTGCTAACTGCTCTTGATTACAGTAGTAAGAAAGTGCCCTCAAGAGTCTTCTTAGTCCCACACATGTTAATGAGAGTAGAACTGCATCATCTGCATAAAGCTGCATTGATACATGATATGAGTACAGCTTGGGGGGATGAAATTCAGGCTTAGATAGATCTTCAACTATGTTATTAATATAAAAGTTAAACAAAGTGGGAGCCAATATGCATCCCTGTTTAACCCCGTTCAAAACTGGGATTGGATTGGATAGAACTCCAGCTGGATTACAGAGGACTTTCAGGTGAGTATTTTCATATAGGCGCCTCATTAGCAGAAGCAGCCCTCTGGTTATGCTCGTGGATTCAAATTTGGCCCAGAGTTTATTTCTTGGGATAAGATCAAAGGTGGACTTAAAATTAATAAAGGCTGCATACAAAGCGCCTCCTAGGAAGGAAGGAATAGTTACAAACTAGATGTTGTAGGATATAGCCCTAGTATTGGAGGAGAGTTTTACAGATACCATGGACTACCAAAAAGAGAAATAAGTGGTTGCTGATCAAATGAAGTTTATCTCTCACTAGAAGTTAAACTGACTAAACTGAGGCTATCATACTCTTGATACATGATGAGAAGTAAAGATTCTCCAGAAAATACAGTAATGCTGGGACAATCTGAAGGCAGCAGAAAAAGAGGAAGACATGTGATAGGATTGACTCAATAAAGAAGTCATTACTTTTTTTCTGCAAGACCTCAACAGGGACATTTATGATCCTACCTTCTGGAGGTCATAAATTCATAGGGTCGCCATAGTTGGAAGCAACTTGATAGGCTGGACAGACCAATAGTTTGCATTGGTATTAGGCAGTACCTATCCTGAACATATCGGGTAAAGAATTCTCCCTCTAAAGATAATCTAACTATTGTAAATAACTTCATCCCCTAAATATTTCACAATATCATAGCACTTCAACCAATTGCTGTGAAAAGTTTCACAATCAGAAAATCTAGCAGTATCTCATAATACAGAAGTTTTGATATTTTTACTTCATCACTGCAATGTTGAAGCAGGTGGACTTTTCCCCTACCTAGTGGGTTGCATGTAACATCTTCAAGCCAATAATTTGTTTTTCTCTTTAGATCTGCATCCTTTCCCTTACTTAGGCTAGGCATAAGGTGTCATTTTAAAATTAACTGAAAATAACAGTTCTGATACTGAAAGAGACATCAGTATGGCATGCTCTGTAATCTACTCACATTGAATTAACACATTTCTTCCATTTAATGTCTTTTTTCTAATCCCTGCTAACAGGCTACTGTTATTACAGATGTGGTACATACCTTTGCACCCCAGAATAGTTACTGTTATTGTTAGGAAGGCACATACTATATACAACAGTATGATGGAAAACTTCAGAGCCCAGTTATTTTTACACTTGGTGCATTGTGTTCCTTCTTGAATACCTGTTGGGGGAAAAAGACATCTGATTTGTTGATTTCTTGTTTTGGACCATTCTAAAATGAATAATTTTCAATTGTATAGGATAGCAGAAAATAATATAATCAACTGTCCTATTGTTATATACAGCCGCTATTCCTTTACTAATAAACTACTGTAACTTTTCACAAAACAAAAATTCAAAGAGAAACAGCTAGGATAACATAAATACAGACACTGGAAACTCACTTAAAAGGCTGAATTTCAATCAAGGGTTCTTAAGATTACCAAGTGTGAAATGCTACACTGATTCACACAATTTGGAATTTGTGTTAACTATGCTAATTCACAGCCTGATAGCCTGTTCTTTTACAAATGACTCATTGTCACATTGCAATTATACATAACCCCATCTGGTCGTGGAGCCATGTATAAATATGACTGTCATAGCCTCACTCTTAATTCTGATTTAGTGGACTTGATTCATGAACACTCACATTAAAATACAGCAGTTACTGTAGTTTTTAAGATGCCACAACATTTTTGTCTCCTGTTATGTCTGTTTGTTTTTAGTTTAGTTTTCTTTCTTGTCTAATATAGACAAGGTTATTGATAGCACTTGCTGGCTGGTTAGATCAGTGAAGTGCGGTACCTGGACGGGAACTCAGTTCCCCACTGTGCCTCCCAGGCTGACAGCCAGTCCATGTAGGCTTGGACAAGCTAAGCCACCAGAAGAAAAGACTGGTAAACTACAGTACTTCTGAATACCCTGTATCTAAGAAACCTCACCAAGTGTCACTGTAAGTCATAACAGAAGTGTTGGCAGCTATTATATTCTGTTATTGATAATACCGCTAGCACAGCTAATAATCTAGAACATGAGATTGACCTGAGTCCCATCATATTGTTTGTTGCTGTTAAAGATCACAACTTGTTCTATGTTCAGAAAACATCTTAAAATACAATATAAGGAATGTAAGCATGCACAGCTGGTTTGGATGGTGATATTTCTTATGAAGAGAAAAAAAATGGGCAGTCAATATCATCTTGCTCAGGAGAATTTTCTGACATCTTATCCCTAGGTGGCTTTTTAAAGCATTGTAATTCTATACTAAATACATTGTTCTTATGAAGAGGTCATGTGTTATGTCAGGCAGAACTGAGCTTTCTCTGCATCAGATTTTCATTTGTTGTTATAGTTCCATAGTCTGCGCACTCCATTATGCAATCTGAGCACATGGTTGTAATGCTGAGCTGCTCCCAGACTTTTTTCACTGGCTGAGGATAGCAGGGAGTTGGGGTCACTTCCGGATGTTGCACATTTCTCACTGGTGACTTAAATAACATTTAATAAATATCAGATGGGATACAATGAGACTCCTTTCATTTGGCATACTTTTTTTTTTGCTTCCTGACTTATAACAAGAGCTCTGTTTTTTCTTGGTCACTGTTGGGAAGACATCTGGCTAAACAGACTGGAGCTCAGTACAAAGGGATCCAGCTGGTACACGTGTTTTGGGGACCCCCTTTCTCCAAGAGCCAACATGTCTACAAAAAAATAAGCAAGAAAGACATCCTCTGGATACTAGCCTTTGTAGTATTTATTTTTCTAGTATTGCATTCCAGTGACTAAGTCCTTTGTTCTCATGTGGGGGTCTCCATCTGTAGATTTTTTTTTTCCTGAGTGCAGATAAACAGTTTTACTACCAAAGAGTGAAAAATGATATTTGCCCCCTTATTAGTAAGGAGGGAAGTGTTTCCAAAGGGACAGGCTCGTCAATGTTTGGTTTTGTCTCAAGGATCACTATTTTGAGTGTCGAGTGTTGTTGTGTGGAGTTTTGGCTGAATAACTGTTAGGAATTTCCTACTGGGGTATTTCTACAAGGTTTCCTTTCTTATCTCAGCTAAAAAACATAATATCTCATATTGAACATAAAGCAGAATGATAATGTCCTGAAAACTCTGCTGAAACCAGATTTCCCCTGTTAATCAAGGGAAGGCCCACTGATGCATCATTATAGGTGGAAATAGACAATGGAGGATGACAATGTGTCCTGTTTTATATAAGACACACTTTGTTTGAAGGGATGCTCTATTACGCTCAGTCTACATGAACTTAAGAAAGGAGATGCTAGTCTAGAACTGCTGTTCCTGTGCTTATCACAGAAGCAGCCAAGAACAGCCTTCCCTTGGAGGCAGTGGCTGTTGGTGCCCACAAGGACCAGCTGGAGGGAGACCAGAGTCACTGAGGCAGAGACATGAGGTCACCAGAGAGAGAGAGAGAGAGAGAGAGAGAGAGAGAGAGAGAGAGAGAGATGGAGCCACCATTTGAATTATCAACATTCTGTAATATAGAAAGGGGAAACCAAGGCACAATAACTTTAGGATCATGAATACAAAGTGGGGACAGGGTCTAAACACTTCTACAAAAGCTCTGCTTTGGACTCAGATTCTCATGTTCCAATGACAATTCTAACTGAATTAGAGACTGAAGATCAGGCACACAAATTGGGGGAGGGGTAGATAAGCACTTCTACTACTACTGCTTCTGCCAGTACTACTTCTACCACCACCACCACTTCTACTCCATTGCTACTCTTGGCAAAAAAAAAGGAGGGGGGATACTGAGCATGGCTACAGATATAAAGATCGGGATGAGAGGCAAGGATGGTGATGATAATGATGGTGAGCTACACAACCACACAAAAGCATCCCTTTGAAATTACGTCTGGCTAGTCTGTTTCTGTATAACCTTCTGATATACAGATAACAAGGCTAAATCAAACAAATAGAAGGCTTAATCACTTGATCGGCGGGCCAGTAGGCAGAATGGGAAAGCCATAGGAAGAGAGGGAAAGCCCCTCTCTTCGGGGGGGGGCAAATAAAAATGGGAAAATATTCATCCCTTCATATACATGGGGATCTCTGGAACCCACGAATATGAAGGGATGAATATTTAACAAATCAGCGATTTCTGACAAATATCGCGATCTGTTTTTTTATTGCTGCCATTAGTGTTGCCAATTATTAGGCTGTTCTTTGCTATGTAAAGGCTGGCATTCTTTTTCCTGCTGGCAACGTGGGCACAATATTGTGCTGCAACACTGAGCAATTTTCTGGCTTTCTGAATCATTGGTACAGAAGCACAACATCCCACACTCATAAATTAGAGGGTTTTTTTTTTAAAAAAAGAATTGAATTAAGATATGTTCCTGCAATTGTTCTATTTTCTATACCTTTCAAATCTTTAATACTGTGAGATACCAAAGCAGTTGTCTAGACTCCTCTCTGTGGATTTAATAAATTAAAACAAATAAACATAGTTTTGTACAACGGCAGCCATTATTTTCAGAAAATGAAATGTACTGAAAATGTATACAAGAGGCAGTTCAGTAAAAACAAAAATCTCTACATAACTGTAGGGGGGGGGGAAATCACTTTTATTTGTGCGGCAGCTGTGATAAAGTTTGGTCAGTATGCATGTGCAAGGCCACCATGCGTTTGACTGAATTTTCTTTTTTTGTTCACTGCTCTATACCACAAACCAATTTTTAAACTATTGGGGGGGGGCGTTTTTATGCATTCTCTGTCTTTGCCTCCCTCTGTGTGTGAATAGAATATAAATTGTTAAGTATGCCTATGTACATGTGAGTCATGTCAGTAACCCACAGGCACATACTCTGTAATGCTTTCAAAAACTAAAATAACAAAAAACACCCCTTCAATTGAAATGTTTGTGGAGTAATACTTCAGATAAACATTCCCCAGAATGTTCTGGAGGAAGTGTTTTCATGAACTCTAAGGCCCTAAATGGCTTAAGCTGTTCATTTTCAAGGGACTGCCTCCCTCCCTGCATCCCACTGCAGTCTCTCAGACCAAATGAAGAGCAATTCAAAGGTACAAAAACTTCCACATATTAAAAGCTTTGCATGTTGCCTTTGGAATCTGTTGTGGCAGGGGAGTTTTAAAATAAGCACCTGATCAGTATGTCATCTGAAGTGAATTTGTTATATGAAAAAAGCTTGAAGAGATGGAACAAATAAACAGAGAACACACACACACACACACACACACACACACACACACACACACAGAGTATGAGGGCTTGGCACAAAGAGGGAATGCTGCTTCATAAATGTTGATTTAAGAGTATTACATGTTAGAGACTCTTGTGAAGTAACAGAAAAACAGACGCCACTGACCCATGAAAAGTATTAATCTGAACTTTCAGAAAAAGCGTACATATCTACATGCCTCTGAACTTCAAGAGAACTTTTATTCCAAGTTTTCTTTTGTAGCTCTGAAAATCATTGTTCCAGGGTCTTAACAGTGTACAGAAATGAAGCTTTTCTTTGCAAAATCACCAAATCATGCGCTCTGCCTCTCCATTAATCCTGATTTCTACATCTGACATAATAAACTGTTCTAAAAAGGATGTCATTATTTACTCTGGAAGAGTTTCAATAAGGGAAATAGTTTTGATTGCACGTAATTTACACAAACCTTTTCATCACTGAGGGAAGGACCCCCATTATCCAGTTTGACCATAATCTCTCACATCTTTTTATAACCCAGTTATTCTTGCTTATGGCTTTGTTCTTGCTTGTTGTGGGCCAAAGATATGAATTGTAAAATGACTAATTAAACATTTGAATCATAGACATTTAATTATATGGAACCAACAAACAATACTCTACTGTGATTAAACACACAATAAAGCATCGTAATTGAAAGGGCAGAAAAAGACATACCACAACAAGCAGAAATAAATAAAGAAGGCATATTATTCAAATATTTTGAGCTTCCACACAGCCATGGTTAATTTTGATGACAATCATAAATTTGTTACAGAAGTAATACATCAAGTATGTTAAGACTTTTCAACTCCTGGAACTGACATGCTTAATCTTCCAATTTTAAAACTGCTAAGAACTGCTAAGTCAAAATCCCATCCATAATTTTTAACAGAGACCAGAATCCTCTTGGTGTTCACATAAGGTTTGCATAATTTGTTGTGCTAACTGAT